AAACACTTTATTGCTTATCCTAATCTAAGTTTTTGATAACCATTATATATAACATATTAATTTGGAAAATAATAACTTATTCACATAAAGTACATATTGCTTTTTAATTTTTTCATGTATTTTTTAAATTATTTCAGGCATTGATTCACCAATGAAACTTGAAAGTTTAACTGATATAATACAAAAAAAAATTGAGGAGACAAATGGACAGTTTCTTATTGGTCAGCATGAAGAATCCTTACCACCTCCTTGGGCCACACTCTTTGATGGTAATCATCAAATGGTCATCCAGAAAAAGGTTTTGTCTCCCGCAGGCGAGCAGTTACATGATGGGAAAGGGAAAAAGAGACGAGCTCCCCTGCCCCCTTCTGACAAACCTCCATTCAGCTTAAAAACACAGAGCAACACAGATCAATTTGTTAAGGACAAGTGGGGAAAAACAAGTGTACCTCAGACCTTGCCTTTGGAAACCAAACTGTCAACCCTAATGCATCACTTACAGAAACCAATGGCTGCTCCTCGAAAACTTCTTTCTGCCAGGAAAAATAGTTTAAGTGATAGTGAGCATGCAGACACTAAAACCAATTTTGAAGCCAAGCCAGTGCCAGCTCCAAGGCAGAAATCCATCAAAGACATTTTGGACCCTAGATCTTGGTTGCAGGCACAAGTATAGAAAACCCTTAATGTATAAAACATTTAACAAAATCTATAGCTGTGAGGCTTAATTCTGAGGTATTATAAATATAGTAATATATAATTATATAGGTAACTATGACAGTGATTTACATCAATAATTAATAAGCTGTTAGATATAGAAAAACATTTTGTAACGAAGCAATGGATTTCTCGTTTACTTCCAATCTTCAGAATATAACTGATTTCCCCAACAGAGTGCAAGAGGCAGTTGCTAGACAATATCCTAATTGTTGGAAGGGTTAATTTATTCCTAAATTAGTACCAGGCAGTGAATAAGCACTAGGCAGAAGAAAGCATTAAAATTTCTTTTGAGGAGAGACTGTCTAGTAATTTAAAATGTGTTAAAAATGAGCCATATTCTCATTGTAAGAATTTTAATACTAATGGAATGTTTCAAAGGTTTTATTCAAACCACAAATTATAGAATCCACCCAAGAAAATTTTCTTCTTAGCATTCTGGAATTCTCATCTAATGGTTCACTGGCTCTCATCTATTGTTTAACTCACTAGTTTATAGGCCTGACCTTTTAAATTCCTGGGATAAATTTTGGAATATTAAATTTTTCATCTTTAAAGGGAATTTGTAATGTGCTATTCAAAGTTGTTTCCTTGATGAGCCCTGAAATCCTGTTGACATTAACTCTCATAAATGAAGCATAACTTTTATTAGATTAGAGAAATGGTAGATGAAATGTTCTTTACATCCAATTTTCTGTGTGTGGTGCTAATTTCCATTGTGACTATGGAATTTGAGGAAGTGAGTAGCTGATTAACACTTTAAAATTCATTTAATACTTATTTAAAAAGCAGATGGGCGATTCAAAAATATCAGAAAAGTTGGCCATGGTAATAATTCTCAGAATTAGTCCTTTTTTCAAAATTTTAATTAGATTTCCTTTTGCTAGTAAGGATTGATGTCTGCTATTGATATTATTCATTAAAAGTCATTCTTACAATAATGACATTGGAATCATTTCCATAGGAGGTAATTTCCATAGCAACTAATCATAGTGACCCAAACAGGATTATAAAATCAAGTGAGGAATAAATAACAAGGGGAAGAATACCTTAAAGGAACAAAAAATCCATTTTTTACAATAATACTTGTTGTAAACAGGAGCTGAATGGTTTAAAAAATCTGATCAGTGTTTCCAAATAAAACAGTTTCCGTAAGGTGTCAGCAATAGCACTAAAAATCTCAAATCACACTGAACCTAAATGTCATTGCAAGAAATAAAAATATAAGAATTAAATTACTGCCCTGTATATAATCTCTAGAGATCTTTTTAAAGCTAGTAAGAATAAGAACTCTATTTGGATCAGAACTGCAATTTTACAAAATAAAATGAACACTTGACCCAAAAAAACATTAATTTAAATGGAGTCTTTCATTATTTTTAGATAGCAGAGTCTTTTTCATTTATAGAGAATGATGTAACTGCCAGGTCACTTTTGTGTTTGCCCAGGACTCCTAGTAAGAATTGGAACTTGAGGGAGTAATGATACAAAAGATCTCTCGTGACTGGCAACACCAGGACAGACATAGTATTTGGTGAAAAGAAAACGCTATATGCTTGCCTGATGGAATTTAGAGATAACACATGTATGAAAGCCTAAAAAGGTGGATTAATTTATTTTTTCTAACTAGAAGGCTCTCATAAATTTCTGTTATAATTGCCATTTCAGTAAATGACATATTGAAAATCTAAAGGATATTATTGTTTGAGTTTTTGTTTATTTTTTCAAATCTTGCTGTTTTTGACAGTGTTCGTGACTGTCATTGCCACTAAATTATTGAGCTGGAAGATGCTGCAGGCAAAATTGTTTCTGAAACTGGCATCTAAGCATTCTCTTTTTTCCTAGTTGGTGCCTTCCTTTATTAAAAACCAGTATTAAAACTTCCAAATTATTAATATATTCTTGTCATTTCTCCTCATGCAAATTATAGCAGGAAGAATTTAAGTTGTACAGGAAAAAGAATTTATTCAGACAGAAATTACCTAGCAGTTGTTCCCTCAGAGGTGTAAAGCCCTTCTTCCTAGAACCATTTAGGTGAAGACTGACCAAGGACCACCCCTCTGCCAAATTATTGTCTGTTTCTGGGGGCCCATCTTACTGTATGTTACAAAGCCTTTGAAATCAGCCTAGAGTCTTCATCTGTGCTTTTTTTTGACTGTTGTGCTCATGAAATGCAAATTCACCCCTGCCCCAAATGACAGTTATAGTATAAAATTGGTTTTTCTTTCTTTCTTTCTTTCTTTTTCTTGCTTTCTTTCCCTTCCTCCTTTGCCTCTCTCCCTCTTTCTCCTTCTTTCCTTCACAATTAAAAAAAAATCTAAAAATAGTAAGTTTAACACTATATCAAGGAGTTCATCAAAAGAAGTATTTGTTTTCACATTTCCTAGATCAGAAGTTTATGACAGACACACCATGTAATATGAAAAATGTTTCTACTTTTTATGAGCTGGCTTTTACATTCCTTGTTTGTCCTTTTGTTTCTTGATATTTGAAGACCATAAATTTGAAACAAAGAGCTGTCAGATCTTGATAATATTATAATTGGAGAAACATAATGGAATAGATACTTTATGATATAATTCTGATGATCTGAAATAATGTCTTAGAGACTTAGACAATTACATTTACATTTCAAGCTCTGGGATATAAATTACTTACAATAGCATTAAGATAGTATTACTTTTAATTGCTACAAAGTGATGTTTTTTATTTTAGTATCTTACAAGGACAAAGAAGGCATTTTTTTATTATAAATGCACACCTCCTAAGGTAAATAGTCTTTCAAAAATATCGGGCCTGCCAGCTCTTGCTGAGTTTTGTTAAATCCTCCTTAACTGTCTGCAGTGCCCCCTGACTTCTTTTAAATGGATGTGAATATATGTGGAAAACTAAATCCATTTATTATAAATGCCTTATCTTTACCCTTTAGGATCCTACTCAATGCATTTTACCTGGTACTACTTATTAAAAATGGAAGCTGTCTTGAATTAGAGACAACTCACGTAAGGTAGGTTAAGCAGTCAAATATTTCTTTAGGCTTATGTTTAGCACCTTAGCCGCCTACTGAGAAGTTAATTAATTCAGTCCAAAATGAAATTATAGAGCAGTTTGGTGCAGTTTATGTTAAATGCCATTTGAATATAATCACCTGTTACAATGAATGAGGTACAACCATAGTAGCTAGAGATAGAGTGCTATACCATGACCAAGAAGAGAAGTACTTTTTCAGGAAAAATATCTGTTCCTGTGGTCCAAATTTATCAAAACTCATTGTCTTTTTACAGTGAAACACTGAGCAGTAACTAAACTTTAACTGATAACCATTTATATTCTTCTAGTAGTTATCTTCACTGTTCTATTAGTCTTAAACTGTAATATAGATAGAGTTGACATTTTGCACCTACATTTCAAAGGCATATTATCTTTAAATGTTTACATCCTTATGTATAACTGCTTCATTGCTAATAATAGTGACATGAAAACTGTTTATTTTGGACCATGCATGTTCTTAGTTAACGCTGGGAAAGATATGACCATTTGAGTTTTTAAAAGACAAGATTTCATTTGAAAACACATTAGGATGTGTTGTTTTCTGACATATTCATATAATTGACATTGTAATTTTTATTTTTTAATTAAATGTAGGTCAAACTTCTGGATTAAAATAGACTATTATATCATGGACATATTTTTTTTTAAGTAACAAAAGTATTTGATAAGGAAGCCTGAGTCATGTGATTAAAACTTCTGTACATTAAAAGAACTGATTCACGAAGACATTTTCAAACTTCTTTTGTTAGGGTCCCTCCTGTGGGCTAAACCAAGAGAAGTAGACAGTGTGGTAGAATCAGTTTAATCAGAGAAAGACATGTCTAGTAGCTGGTGGTAATTATTATAAAACTAACATTCTGATAGCCTTGGTATAATTAATGTTTATTAAAATGTTTGCATATAATCTTTCTTAAAGTATACTCTTTTAAAAATCCATTGATGTAATCTTACTTTTAGTTTAGTGGTCCAGAATTTTCCCAGAGCATGAGTCACTCTGATAATAAATTAGGTACCCAGGATATTCAGTTGCTGTTAGCCACAGGGAGACTCCCTGATTTTAATGCACCGCCCTCAGTACTTAATTTATTCCCATGGAGCACCGCAGGGAAGGGGGAGAGAGGAGTGAGCAATCCTGGCTCAATTATATTATTTCAACATTTTATTTCTAAATCTGTAGTATGATCAGAAACATTTAATTTTTTAAGAAAATAGCTTCCCTTTCTCTAAAAGAGAAAGGCCTGCTAATCAATGTGCTTACATAAACAAAGTGTACCTATAGGTTCAATGAACAAAAAAAAACTGTTGCAGAAATATTAACACACATTTTTCTTTATCTGAGTATAGGAGAAAATACCAATCCTGACATGTTTGGTAATTAGGAAAAATCATCCCAGATCTTACTGAAAATTGTATTTTAAATTGCAGCAGTTTGCTTTTGAGAGATACAGTAATCTCTTAATGTAACTACTAAAGGAGAGGTAAATTGAAAAGATCTTGTATGTACATAATTATGCTATGTCATAAGCATGTTTCAAGATATCAAAATAAATTTTGTTGAAGATGGATACTTTTCTGTGTCTTATATCAAAAGATTTTTGTCTACTCAAAAGAAAAAAAATCATTTTGTAAGTAGACGCTTTTTTGTCGAACTTAATAAACATGTTTTAACTTAATCAGTTGTAACAATTTTACAATTTTATATTAAAGGGGAGAAAAAAAGTATTAAGAGGAATAATCCATTTACCTGAAATATTAAAACATTTTATATATATAAAATATAAAACTGTAGATATTACATACATCCATACACACATACATATTCATACATGTACTACAGTAGATTTTTCAATCCAGGTATTTTCAATTAGTTTTAAAGGATTTTTTTTAAGTGCTGCCAACAGTAGCAGAGTAAAAATCCAAACCACTTTCCACAGTTTACAGAAACTGTTACAACCCTGCTCCAACCTGTCACACCTACTAGGCACTTTGTGCTCAGTTCATATGCTTATAGGACTAGCTGTTGATTAGGGGGTCACTCTGAGCTCCTGGAGACCTATCTCCAGTCCTTGCATGTGGCTCCTTCAATCTTCAAGGCCAGCAAGAGTATATCAAATCCTCCTTGTGCTTCAAATCTCCTGACTTTTTCATCTGCTACCAGTTGGAGAAAATGCTTTGCTTTTTAAAAGTGATTGGTTGAGGGGTGTCCACCAGGACAATCTTTCTTTTGACTAATTCAAGGTCAACTGATTAATAACCTTAATTACATATGGAAAATCCTTTTGCATGTAATGTAATCTTGGATGTAATATCCCATCATATTCATAGGGCAAGGAACCATTGAGTTGGAGGCACAGAATAATTAAGTAACTTTCCCAAGGCCTCACAGTAAGTGGTAAAAATGGGATTTGAATCTGATCGGTCGTCATCCAGACTGAACCCTCTCATCCTCCTCAGTGTGCCAACAGCCTCTAACAAATGTGAAATAGCAAAAAAGCATCGAGAGCAAGTTTTACTAGACTGGCCTCCAAAATCTTTTTCCCTGGTAATGTGGTCACTTTGTATATACGTTTGCATTAAAGCCACAAATGAAAATTCACAATTAGATCTGGCCCATTCTATTCTGGGCATGAGCCTGTTTCCTGGGTTGAGGGAGCATTTGGGTATATATAAACCTGACTGTACTACCAGGCTGTGGAAAGCACTAATCAAAACATAATGGGGAGGAAAAGATAAATTTTTTCTGAGGACATCTGGGAGAACTGGAAGAAGTGGTATTTGATCCAGGCCTTGAAGGATGAGTTGGTCTTTGTTAATTACATTTCTTTAGATAGAAGGCAACAGAAGTTAGTTTAAGCTGAAAAAGAAGAAAAGAAGGGAAAGTTGGACAGGACAACTCAAGTGTCCTTCGCAACATGAAGAAGGAAAGAATAAAGTCTGTTCTTCTAGCATGTTAGAATAGTCTTTTAGAGTAGTGACTTGGGGATACAAAATGAATCACACACCTTAATTGCTTAGAACTATGGATCTCAACCAGGGATCATCTTTGCCCACCACAGAACATTTGATAACATCCAGAGACATTTTTGATCATCACACTGGGGGTGGAAGGTGCTGCTCACATCCAGTTGGAAGAGACCAGGGATGCTGCTGAACATCTTATACACTGGACAGCTTCCCCACACCA